CACTGACAGGGTTAACATGCCAAGATGAACATCTGGAACTTATTTTTCCAATGAAGAATTCTTTCAACACATATAAAACAATCATAGCATTTAGGATTAAATTACTCATAATTATCAAAGATAATGTTAAATGTACCTTCTCCACTATGAGAACTGCAGTAACTTAGACCACCACTGCTTGATTTCCCTGAGCCTCTCCTCAAAGGATGAGTATCTAAGCATGTGAAAGAAAATAATGCATGCATCATTGCAATTTAGTATCTTGCACAGTATAAAAACTATGCAAACTGCTGGTTATAGTTCCCACAAATAAAATGCATTTGATCAGGAAAGAGTAATACTATTCTTCCTTAAAAGGAATGGGTTATACAATTAAATCTTGAAATTAAATGAGGATATCTTAACCAGTACAGATGTGGATATCAAAAGAAAAAGAGGGAAATTTTTTTGCGCACCTTGTAGAGGTAACACTCATACTTTGCATTGAATGCACTGCTAGATTCCTGAGTGTACAGGTTGCTAGAGTGTAAGGAATGTCCCCAAGTCCAGGTGATTACTGGGTCAAATAAAGTAGTAGCCCCATATGGTACATGGAATAATAAATAAGTGGGATGATCAAAATGTAGAGGAAATGCCATGATGGAAAACATGATATGCATAGGGACAAGTGACCCTATCTAAGGTGCCTGACAAGACAGATGTACAGGGTGGGCCAAAAAATTCAGCCCCAATTTTTAATTGCACATAACTCAAAAACTATTGAAGCCACAGGCTCGAAAAACACAGAAAAATTAAAGCTTGTTCCTTCCTCTTTAAAATAGTCTATAGGTTCATTGTAATACATGCCATGGCATGGCCGCCAGGGCCATTTGAATCAACCATGACCGAAAAAAAAGTTGCAAGGTGTTGCTACTGCTACAGGTGCCTTTGTTTCTGTCCTGCTGTGAAGAGGGGAAGACACAGTTCAATGGCTGGCTACTTTTTCACCCTCCCCAGTCATCTCTTCCTAATACCGCATCATTTTTATGCTGAAACGTGCATGAACAGCCGACCAGCACTCCAAGCTTTCAGCAGAGAAGCTTAGCTCATTTTGCATTGCGATCCTACAGCAACGATGTTTGCTCTCTCTTCCACGAGAAATTGCCATGTGCGTGCTTCATCTGAGCGTCAGTTTTCACTTTTTAATTTTTTAAATTTTCTTCCTCACAGCCAAAAATGACGTGTCCACCACGGGTTATCAGAAAGTGATAAGCATCTCATCTGTGCACTTCGTAAGGAAAAGAAACATTCCTTGAACCAAATTCTGAAGGAGTTTCCTGATCGGCAGTGGAAGAAATAGACTGTTCGAGACTTACTGAGAAAGCTCCAAGAAACAGGAAGCATTGAGCATCGCCCTGGATCAGGTCATCCAAGAACTGTTCGAATATAAAAATAAAAAATGATAAAAATAGCATAAAAATGATGTGGTATTAGGAAGAGATGACTGGGGAGGGTGAAAAAGTAGCCAGCCATTGAACTGTGTCTTCCCCTCTTCACAGCAGGACAGAAACAAAGGCGCCTGTAGCAGTAGCAACACCTTGCAACTTTTTTTTCGGTCATGGTTGATTCAAATGGCCCTGGCGGCCATGCCATGGCACGTATTACAATGAACCTATAGACTATTCTAAAGAGGAAGGAACAAGCTTTAATTTTTCTGGTTTTTTTTTCGAGCCTGTGGCTTCAATAGTTTTTGAGGTATGTGCAATTAAAAATTGGGGCTGAATTTTTTGGCCCACCCTGTAGGTGAGACCATTCAGAGGATGCCTCTCTTCATCTCCACTGTGAATTACCAAGCATGCAGATATTCACATAAGTTGCATAAGACATGACTGGTTCAGGCATCAACTATGAGCTCAAAGCATCTCTAGTTCCTTGCACCAGCCATGGGACATGGCTCCCATGAGATCTCCAAGCTCTTGTTTGTGCTTGACAATTTGGTGATGAAAAATAATTTATTTTTACATCCTTTCCTTTGATGTGTCTTCACCATTGGGAATCCAAGTATACATTCCTCCAATTATTAATAATGTGGCAGTAGTCATAAGGAAATCTTAGTAAAGCAATTATTCACAAATGCATGGTTCATGCTGGACAGTTTGAGTTTCATTGTCCTGCACTGAGGTCACACTAAAGCTCACACTTATACCAAGAGTGGGAAAAGATGTACAGGAAAGCATTACTATTGGATGTCCCTTGCAAAACAGACCACTCTATCCATGGGAATCCACAAAGGGACTTGAAAGAAGGGAATGGCAATGTTCATGGTATGCAGGGGAAGGTTGGTGTGTGCGCAGAATGTGAAGGATACCTTGGAAGGGTTAAAGTAGGCATATATGCAATGTGAGTGTGTTTGTGGGGTGAGAGAAACATCAGGTCCATAAACGATAGTCTGCCAGCTAACCCTGTATGTGGGAAAGCATGGAATGTGAGGAAGACGTCTGACTGCAGCCTGAACTGCTAACGTTCTTGATGTAGTCGGGAATTAGATGTCCTCTCTTTGTGACATTACATCTTTCTTGCTCGATGTGGTCACGTGTAGGCACCGGTCTTAAAACGTGACACCTATAGTGCACACAACATTGCCATGACGGTCAATGAGATGTGCGATGTCCAGAACAACGCCTTCTGTCAATGAGGTCAACATATTGTCAAAGGTTTAAACAAAAAAGACAAGTCAGTCGCTCGCCTCTTTTTAATGCACAAGCTCATACTGGAACAGTAAAAAGAGATAACCAGAGTTGAGATGGTGTCTACAAACTAACAGACATAACTCTACCTGTGCTTCATTATTTATCATTGTCAATTATGCATTTCGCTCGTTGTTTGGCAATTAGGGATCATTTGAGACCGTAACACAGTTCCAAATAAGATTGCTTCCTCCGCCACGAGCTGAGAACACCATGGTGAGGAGCAAAGTGGTGCTGTATGCGTGTCTGAGTTTCCTAATATATTGTGAAAAGAGTTTCCCATGAATAAACCAAGTTTCATAATAAAAAATACTAACTAGAGGTTATTGTAGGAGAGTAAAAATGTTTTCTTCCTCAGGTGGAATCATCAAGTCCTGAAAACAATGAGGCGAGACAATCATGTGATTGGCAACACTGCAAGCTCATCTGCTGGGCCGCTAGATATGTCAGCGCGCATTCAGTGAAGGGGATTTCGTAGCGCAGAGTTGCTGCGTTTGTTGCGCGCATTTCGTGAGGGACGGGACGGTAATTGACAGGCTTTCCCGATCCTTTGAAGCAGGAGAAGCTTCAGCTCAAGAAAATGCAGCCGATGTCCTTGAAAAATGCACAGACTGGTGGTTCCAAACTGCTTGACCTGGCGAAGAAGTGGAATTCATTTCTCTTCTTGAGACGTCAGTTGCCAGTTTTCTCATTCGAAAAAAGGAGCTTTTAATGCAGATTTTATTTAGACCCAGATTTATGATGGAAGATCATGAAAATCATATGCTTCCCCTTCGTGCACTTTGTTGTCTTTGTTAATATTTTAGGTCAGGGCTATCCAAGTAAAATCAATATATTCCTTGAAGACAAGAAACCAAGTTTTCTCATTCTAGGAGAGAGAACAAGAAGGGATTAAAGCTTTTGAACAAGTGGAACTTACAAAAAATGGCTGAAAGTTCAGAAATTATTCCCCAGGATTCTGACCTTACACAAAAATACAAAAGTGCAGAAACACTCTTGTTTGCAACACCAAAAGCAACCATATGTACTATGAGTATCTTTTTGCAAGGATGACCTCAAGTGTATTTGGGAATTTGCTAATAGACTAATGAGTAAACCCGCTCAGCAGAGCATGACTTCCCTTGAACAAGTAGGAGACAACTTAGATATATCTGACAACATTGTTGCCAAAATCAATAGTATTTTTGCCTTGGATAGCATTGCCCAATATCATGAAATGGTAAGAGATTCAACTTATGAAACCTTTCCCAACATTCATGTCAACCTTATTTATATTGATGAGAGTGAAATTTCTTCTATCTTGAACTTATTCATCATGAACAAGGTCTCTGATCTCAATGATATCTAAGCCCATAGTGGTAAGCTAACCCTCCTATACACTAATTCCTTGCTTACCTTGATCTTTAACAAATCCATCAACACTGAGGTTTTCCCAACTTAAGGAAGCATGGGAAGCTAGCCACACTGAATAAGAAAGGTTCTCATACAAATATTGAAAATTACAGGCCAATCACCATACTACCCTTTTCTTCTTGTTGAGTGACTGTCACACTCTTGATTGTTCTTGTTCCTCAAAAGGAATGCTATTTTTATATCCAAGGCAATTTGGCTTTCAAAGCAGATCTCTGCTCAAGCTCTCCTTGCATGCCTGAAAAGTATATATCTAGAAGATTGAATCATGGTCTATGAAGGTCTGAAGTTGTCTGAACTCTTGCAGGGATGGTAGCTGAATGTAACTGCATTGTAACTGCATTCTGAATACTGTAAAACCAGCATTCCATTGCCACTTGCAAGGATGTATTAGACATTGGTAAGGCCCCTATTAGAGTATTGTGTTCAACTTTGAAGGCACACAAAAGGGTTACAGGACAGTCTGCTAAATGAAAGAGATATGGGGACTTTCATACAAACTTGTTAATATGCAGTGGAACTGTACTCGCTTGAGAGAAGGTTAATGAAGGGAATCTCATCTAGGATCAATATGGGCAATTCTAATGTGGAGTGTGAGGTTATTCCAACTTGATGGTAGCATATGAAAAAGGGGAAATCAGATGAGGTTGAGTAAGCAGCAAATGAGGGTCAAGGAAGTGACAGAGATGCAGGAGTTGAACTTCTTTATCAGGAAGAATGGCTTTCTTTGAACTACATGTGAGATGGCTTTTCATAGAATGTTGGCAAGAATGAATTAAGATTTAGCATATTTTGAAATAATTTTTTTTTTTACAAATAGTTTTCCATCAATCAGTGACATGGATTATTCTAACATTCTGTTTCATGTCTTCACTTCTTGCCTTTTCAGCTGGGAATGCAACAGATTGCCTCCCATTTGTTGCTGAGGGACATCATGTGGGTTTTGTTCGGTGGGATGTGCTCAAGACACTGAAGGATTTCCCAAATGTCTTCACCTTTCATAGCCATTGTGTGGAGCTCAATCAAAACCTGAAAACTTATGAAGAGAGGTCATGGAGAATGGCAGAAACTTTAGAGGTGATGCGACAGAAATACAACTTCCCAGCTCTTCGTGGATGGCGAAATGAGGTTTGCATGGGTCTCCTTGCACCAATGTTCTTTTGGTTTACTTTACTTCACTTTCTCAAGTGGAATTTCAATGATAGAAGCATGCACAGGAATACATTGGAATGTGTTGGACCCCATTCATTTTCCACATTTTACACTTCAGCATATATACACCCCAAGAGTTTGGGAGATCTGCTTTTGGTACATTTTCATGTGTACATATTTGAAAGCTTAAAGAACTGTGAACAGGGTGCATCTTTTCAATGTGATCCAGCTATGAGAAATAGCTTATTTTTGCATTTTTGATATAAGTCAACCAAGCTAAAAATCTTCAAGTAGGTTTGTCACTATTTCCTCATCTCTCAGTGCTACGATGTCCGTGGGGGAAACTTCACGATGCAGCCTCTGTTCAAGATGGAACGTTCTGCAACATGTGAGCTCTTCTACTAAAGAATTAATTGGCATTAGTAATTTTCCCATTGTTGCTGTTGTAAAGAATCACAAGCTTTTATGCCTTGTTTTCTCAGGCCTATTTGGAATACGACAGTACGGGGTGGACATAAATGGATATGTCAATGACCCAGACCTTGGATTCTGTATGTGGCTGCAGCAGAGGTCTTTCACAAAGCCTACCTGGCCTGGACGATGGGACAGCATGGTATTTTCAATATGGAAGATCCTACTTAATATTTTATTCTCTGTGCAGTTTCTTAAAAGCATTGCGTATAACTCTGTCAGGCTGCAGGGGGACTTACGTCGGGACAAGGAATTTTGGAAAGTGTGTGCAAAGAGGCAGCAGAGGAGGCAAGTATCCCTTCCCACATACTGAATGCTTCCCTACGTCCTTCTGGTTCCGTCTCGTGAGTTTCTGTCTCCAGAGAACAAGGAAGTCCTTTCAGCCAATTGATTGCTTGATTTATTGTGCTTCCAGGTTCTTCTATGAAGATGAACGGGGGCTTTTCCCTCAGACTGAGTTTGTCTATGATCTTGAATTGCCTTTGGATTTCATGCCTGTGAATGCTGATGGAGAAGTGGAATGCTTCCAGCTGTTTCCCTTACATGTAATGAGCGAAACTTTCCCTTGGCAATAGACTTGATATTTTAACATTTCCTCAATCTAGCCCATATTTTCCTCTTCATAGGAAATCTTAGAAAAGATTCACAGCAGTGATTTTAAGACCACCAGCTGCCCAGTTGTTGTTGACTTCCTTGTTCGACACGGAGTGATCACTTCCGAGAACCGTAAGCCTTCTTGCATCAGTACACTCATCTGTAAAGGTGCATTTTTGCAGTCCATACCAGTAAGCAATGGCACACATTTTAGGAAGCATCCCTTCTGTTTTATCAGTCTTACCATGAGCATTGCCTACCATGGCCACTTCCTGCCCCAAATCCTGTGAGCATAACCCCATGGGCAGTACAGTGTAATCAGTCAACATTCAAGAAGCGTATCTGGCATCAATAGAAAACCATGACATGAACATGTTGCTCATTTAGTGGCATGGAAAAATGGTCATTTTCTTGTCAATATGTATACATATAGCAAAGATTGGCTTTTATTGTTGTTTCTGCAGAGCCAGATCTGCCTCAGCTAGTGGAGATGTTACACTCTCCAGTCCACGTGTTGTTTGACAGTATCTCCCATGGTAAGGAGCTCCAGGTACAGGTAGTAGAAGAGAACTCTGCTTCCCTCAGCCCATCCCCTCTCGTGGTGACTACCTGTAACAGCACGGTATGCTGCCTTTCTCTATCTCTCTCACTCTCAATCCTTCTGTGTGTCCTCTTCCATCTTGGTATGAACATTTGCTATGATGGGTTTCTTCCAAAAAATTGATGCATGTTTGGTTTTAAATGCTTTTACATTATAGATCATGAATGAAAGCATGTTGCTGGGTGCAAGATGGCTTAGTGTGAATAACTCTAGATTTTCTTTTAGGCCTAGTGACCATTGTTCAATCAAAACGCAAATTATATTCAGGTATACTGATGGATGCTGTGGGTTACCAGCGTTTTTGTCACACAGAAAAGGTTGCAGGCACTTTTGGTTGTTGCACTATTTTGTTGCAAGCAAAGATAGTCACACAGGTGAAAGGGGTGAATGCAAGGTGAACATAGGGCCCCTGTGTTCCCTTAGGGAAAATAATAGGGTCCCTCTGTTCTCATGGATATCAGCTGGGAAAGGGAAGGGGAGGCAGAGGGTTGCAGTCATTCTTGACGCTATTGTGAGTTGTTTTGCATTCATATGTGTGTATCTAGAGTCGTGTTAATGGCACTGGAATACCTCAAGACATATAAGAGTAAAGAAAAGCTTCACTATGAAAAGTATCTCACAGGAGAAGTTTCGAAAAGATAGCATGACGATGTGAGCTGTAAATCTGTAATGTTTGGATGCACACAATAAATGATGGAGTGGCCATGTCACCCACTGACCACATTCATGCACCCAGTTTTGATCATGTCTAATTGGCAAGTACAGTAGGGGAGCATTTAACATTTTAAAGAAAATGTTAAGCATGTTCAAATTGAAGCTGTAAATCAACAGTGATTCACTGTTGAATCATCGTTGATTTGCCATTAAACCTGATTTCACTGGTGATTCACTGTTGAATCACCTATGACATTTTTGTACAGGTTGCCACAACTCAAAATTCTCAGGAACCCAGGCATAGACTTGTGCAAGATCTGCTTCTTGCTCTTGTTATGCCCTCATGACTAGGAGAGTGCGATGATCAAAAGTGCAAGCAACGTTTAGTCCACGATGAACTGTCCATGACCATTTTGGCCACAACAAAAGCACCAGTCATGGATGCTGTGAAATTGACTTGATTGTGCAAGGAATTGGATGCTATGTCATGGTCCTTTTTACTTTAGATTTTTCAGGAAATAAGGTAGTTTGATTGGCAGCAGCAGCAAGTTATTTATCAATTCAAATCACCATGATAATTGTTTGTACACAAGGTCATCAGTATACTCCTGAAAATGAAATGTCTTTTGAAAAACCAAATATTTTAAAAATAAGTATTATGCTCTCATAACACTTTGTCTCATAAATACCTGTCACTGTCCATTTTTTCCTCAGGAATCTGGAAATCATGCCTGAGGGGAATAACATCAGTTGGTCCCTGTTCTTCCTATTCCTCAAAAGTCAAGAAATCTGGAATGATCATCCAAGTCCAACATTTTAGTTCTCAGTCCCTCACCCATGTGGATTCTCAGGGCAAAGCAAACATGGTGGATGTGAGTGAGAAACCAGTGACCAAGAGAACAGCAAGAGCTTTGGCTCGGGTGGAGCTGGGTCAGGAAGCCTTTGTCCTGGTCCAAGAGAACAAGATAAAAAAAGGGGATGTGTTAGCTGCTTCCCGACTGGCCGGGATAATGGCAGCCAAGTCAACATATCAACTCATTCCCTTGTGTCATAATGTCTCTCTCAAACACATCTCCATTGACTGTTCCTTGAATCAAGAAATGTATTGTGTCGACATTGAGTGTACTGCAACAGCGTTTGATGTGACTGGTGTTGAGATGGAGGCTTTGCTTGGGGCTTCAGTTGCAGCTCTCACAGTCTATGACATGTGCAAAGCTGTCACACACTCCATTGTGATAAAAGAAATCAAACTCTTGAGTAAGACAGGAGGCAGGAGTGGTCGGTACCTCATTGATGAAAATGGAACAAGATGATCTGCACTCATGCTTAAGCTTGAGTCTGTGATTGTGTAGAACTTGATGAGGATATTATCATCTAGCATATTTGTTCATTTATATTCATGAAAAAAGTGCATGTCATGTTTTGAAGTATCTTCCAGCATTTTGCAAATGAAGTTTCAGAGGGATGGAAGCCTATTTTAGTGCAAAAGCAATTCTTAAGAAATCAAGAGAAAAGATAACTATCATGTGGCAAATTGGACCTGAATTCCCATTTAGAATCTCATTCAGTGCAATGATTTGTGCGACTTCAGACCGGTACTGATTTCTTCCTTGAACATTTGATCTCTCTTTGTGCAAGTCACCTAATATAATATACATTATTTATGAATGTGAAAACATTATTCATGGTTTTCTTTGAAGGGACATTCATGTAAGAAGTCCATTTTAATTTAAAAAATTTTTTTTCTTCTCTTGACGGAAGTGCAGAAGGGTCAGTCCTTATCTCTCTATTCAGCCCTTCACCTCAGTCTTCAGTTGCACGACCTATGAGAATCAAGGATTTGGCGTGTGAAGAATGTGCTTGATTGGGAGAATATGAATGTGGGTGAATGTACGCGTGGCGGGGGATGCGAACATGGAAGAAGCAAGTGAACGGAGCCTTTCACTCGCTCGCGCTCAGCAGCTTTTTGTTGAGCTCCCTTGTTCCATTGACCCGATGCGAGTTTCATTTTACAAGGCTTCGGGAGGTCCTTGGTCTTTACACGGCAGAAGCATTTACGCATTAAACCCTTTCGTTGCGTAATTTATTTTAGTACGCAGCCAATGGCAATGTTGCTAGAAGCAACTGAAGTCGTAAGAGTTAAGACGTCAGCTGTCGAACGCCATTTCCAACGCTTTAACCGCGATGCCACGTGACCCACCAGCGGATATGTGGCAGCGAAGGTCTTCAAGTATTGTCGTTCATGAAATCCTTAAAAGTCGTAGGGCCACCAAAGTACACCCACGGAAAAATAATCATATATACTCGGGCATAGCTGGATTCAGTTCTCTAGAGAAATACGACTCCTGATATAACGAAAACCCGATATAACGAAATAATTCCGGCAGCTTCATCAACTTCGTTATAACGAGTCAACTGTAGTTTTAAAACTTATTTTATGCGATTCTCATGGATGAAGCATTTTGACAACCAATTTTACAAAGTGTACAAATTTGTGAGTTGTGATTATCATCTCATGAAATTAGGAGTTAGATGAAGCTCTAATATTCTCTCAAACAATCATGAAAGCTTCACGGGCAGACGACTCAGACTTCTAGGTGACTACACGAAGAGCCTAATTTCTTTTTCAGAGAAAGGGGAGGTTCCTTCACTCCGATTTTCTTCCACTAAGTCAAGGTGGCACGGGAAGGAAAATTGAAGGCTCTGAGATCCTGAATTTGTTCTATGAATCTGGTGTAGGTGGTCTTGTAAAGCCCAGAAACCACTTTCTTACCTTCATAACATTTTTACTTTAGACATAAGTAATTTCTTAAGTCACTGCTAGATGGTAATGGAAGAGCAATATGTGAAGGGATCATAGGATTCGAAGTTCCGGATTCTCATGCCTCGCCTCATCCGAAAATCTTCACAATGGGTCTTTCTCCTTTGGCGTTGCATGCGGCACGTAATCTCGTTTTCCAAAAGTGATGGACTTGCAGGTCTCCTTTCAGGCCGTAGTCAGCAAATTTAAAATTAAATTTTTAAATGAAAAATCTGTTTTTGATAGAACAACCAAAGTGTGAAATAACAGACAGGACAGGACCATTAGTGGTCTTTCCTTTCAGGAGAGGAAGCTCACTAATACACAATACGCAAGAAATCCTTCCTGTGAGGTCCAAGGACTCCAAATTATATCCTCTTGTTATATCTGAAAAGCAGCAATAGGTGAAAGGGCAGGATAGAGAACGTGGACAGTGATAAAATGTATACTCTTCTGAATACCCACTAAGAACATATTCAATTAAAAAAAATAAAGTTGTTTGTAAATGTGTAAGTAATAAAGACAAAGTCTCATGCTAGCCATTCTCTATTCGATATTTGACCAGATATTCCTTCCTTCTATTTCGAACGAGACGATACAAAACGATCGACAAGTCAGACAATTAACTTCAAACTCCTTATAGCGAAGTAATATGAACTAATGTTATTTTCCTCATCCAGAACAATTCTCTAATACAAAGACTTCGCAAAATCATACCATATGCATCCTTGTACGAGAGTAACACTCCAAAGTTCTGTTACTTTAATGAAAAATGGATCGCGGAAGATAATGCCAACAAATAAACATCAATGATTAGTCAAAGTCTACTTAATAATATACGACAAAAAGTACTGCCAAACTCGACATGAAAAAGGCTAACGATGGAATATAAATTTTATATTAAAATATACAATGCATTCCATCCCCATCTAAGACCCCAGATACAAGAATTAATCCAATGTATTGCTACCAACGAGAAGTTCAAAATGAGTTTTATTCTAATCCAATATACTTAGGATTCATAAACGGGTATCCCGATGACGAAGAATATTTTTAAACAAATACGAAATTGGAATTTAAGTGAATAAGAATACCCTGAATGATTGCATCCCGAACCCCAATGCGTCTTCACTCGAATGATATAGTTTTTCGGACAAGTTTTTCCTGACGATTAATCCAAACGCTTTCTCATGGACAGTTTATCTGTCTTTCTCCAGCAACAGGAAATTGGAATTCAAATCCTTCAAGGGTTCCATCCTGAAATGAAATAATCAGATTTGAGAACGCGTCAAGTTAAAATTAGTAACGATGTCTCCCAAAAAGTGCACATTTTATTACTTACACCCGAAAAAGCAGCAGCTAAAAAAGGAACTGGCGAGGTTGCCTCTATTAAATGCCTGACCTATAAGGTCGTATGTGCATAAAGACTTACCGATGAGTATCGATGCAGAAACTACCACTGCTGAGAACGTGGGAAGAAAAAGATAGCTTGGAGCGACGTTCTTTTACATACTGGAAGAAAACGCGTAGGGATACCTTCGGTAGAGCGGTTAGCGAGAAGGTATTGGGATGACGTGAAGGAGTCCCCTGGAACCTTCGAGAAGGTTCTAGGATGAACACCGACTGGAAAGGCGAGACTTCGAACACGTGCGTCGGGTAGAGGGGAGTAGTTTCTAGAAGCCTCCGTGGGCTCGCGGTATGGTCGTGTATAGATCCGCTGTTCGGTAGACGGAGTCTTTTTGCGTCGGTAAAACTGAGGGCCGATTTAATATAACTTCCCCCCCCCCCAAAAAAAAAATAAAAAAAACTGAGCTGTGCAGGCCAAGAACGGAGAAGGCGTTCGTCCGAACATAAACTCCAAGGCAGTCTGGCTCCTGGCTCCCTTCTCACACATTTCCTATGACTCAGAAGAGTCTCATTTCCCTTCTTCCTAGGACACGAACTCAATCATAGAAGGAAGGACATGTGTAGCTCTGCTTGGATTGGGGCTCAGGATTCCGGACAATTTTCTCAATCCCAGCCGGGCAAATCACACCGCTAATAATTTTTTTTCTAAGGGGAAGGGGGGGGGGGAGTAAAGTATATACAGGGTGTCCCAAAAGGTATGGAAACATTTATAAAATAAATATCTCCCTAAATTATGCCTCAAATTAAACGATTAAAACAGTAAAAAGAAGTGCAACTCGAACATTTGTAAACCTGTTATTGCAATTCCACATGGGTGATTTGTGATTCTGTAGATGTCCAAGTGATGTTTGAGCTCTTACCACACCTTGTCAGGCATAACTGTCTGGATAGCCGGGACGATTCTGTTATTTAGATCTTGATAGGTCATCCGCTTTTCTCCAGAGGCGATGTCCTTGACAGTCCACAAGAAAAAGGCCACTGGGGTTATTTCCGGTGATCTTGGAGGCCATGGAATGGGCCTGCTTCGTCAATCAACAGATCTGGGAATTTTTGGTCGTGCATAAGTTTGCTAAAATTTCCAAGTGCAATATCTTGGAAAATTAGATTTATATTTAACCTGAACCCATCCCTCTTAGATATTTTTTCCCGTGGGGCTATGTCAAGGACTCAAGAAAGTTGACAATCTCCAAGATCTGAAGAACAGAATTGTCCCAGCTATCCAGACAGTTACGCATGACACTGCATACGTAAGTTACGGTAAGAGCTCGAACATCGTCTGGACGTCTACAGAGCCACGAATAGTGCCCATGTGGAATTGCAATAAAAGGTTTTAAAATTTTTGCGTTGCACTTCATTTTACTGTTTTAATCATTTAATTTGAGACATAATTCAGGGAGATATCTACTAGTATTTTTTTATGTTTCCATACCTTTTGGGACACCCCCTATTTTATACATACTGTATATGTATTTTTTTTACACCAATTCCTAACTTTTCTTCCGATCAAACGCAAACGCGTTTTTTTTCTCTGAAGTTCGCATTCGGATCTCGTCTCAGGTTGTACAATACATCTCATTTTCGTAATGCTTGTCTAGTTTGTGTCTATTCGTGTTTATTGCGTATCCATGACAAAAAAAGGCAAAAAGAAATAGACTGCATCTGAGTCGTGTTGTGATGCTTTACAACACGACTCGCTTGTTGAAGCTAACCCATAACTATCGAAGTAATGCGAGACATCGCCGCTTCCGATCCAAACTCCGCACCAATGGCTCCCATCGGACGCTTTAGAATCTAAGTTAAATATAAAGGAACCATTTTGAGGAAACCTTTGATCGAGCATTAGGCAGCCACGAGAACTCGAAATTCTTCCAAGAAGATGCTCCTCGAATCTGTAATTTGCAATGTCTTTCACCTCGATTTCGTCAAACTCGGCTTTCGATAATCATTACCGGTTTTCTTCATAAAACAATCCAGAGGCAGACTTGATTCGAGTCAGTTTTTTAATTGACTTCGTGGGACTCATTTTAGATTTTTTAATCTTCGGATTCCTGCCTTGGAGGCTTGAGCGAGTTGCTTCATGCGCACGTTGCGAGCTATCTGATTCCCAGCGAGAACGGCATGCGCTGCAATCCAACCGACGCTGGCTGCGGCCGATATTCCGGCGAGCAATGCCGAGACCGTTATCACGAAGCCATCGTTCTTTTTTGACTCTATTTCAATGTGCGGTTTCTTAATTTTTTCCGATTTGATAATTTTGATAGTTAACACGAATTAGCTTTAAAGTCGTTCAGTTTTTCGACTCGTTTTTGCCGACTGTGATTATATGTTATCTGCTTGGCGATTCTTTCCTCGCGATGAGAGTCGTAATAAGCTTTTTGTTTTGGCTTAATTCTTCATTCGTTTTTGCATATTTCGTATTTTCTTTCTTTGCTTTTTCTTCTTTTGGGCAATTTTTTTCACGCAACCTTGAACTCTTTATGAAAATCTCGATTCCCTTTCTGCTTGGCTCTTAATTCATCTTGATGCACCTTTTGATTTTCTTTTATTTTGATTATTATCTGTTCGCGATGCGCGTCGTTATGCGCTCTCCGCTTTCCGGTTATTTATTATCTATTAGCTCGCTAATACACTCTGCGCTTGACTTTTAACGTATCCCCAACTTCGAAATAATGTACCGGATGGCCCAAAAAAAGTCCCGAACTTTGCACGCCTGCAGAGGGTGTACCATAAGAGTTATCGATAGGAAATTTACAGTCTTTTTGCATGCAATGTTTGCAGGTAATATAACAAAAACTTCATTGAATTTGGTTGTAAACTACGTAAGAATTTTTCTCCCGCGCAATGTCAAAATAGTGAGCGTGCAAAGAAACGCGCCTGACCTCAATGAAAGAAATGTTTGATGAAATCAGCGGCGTAGCCAGGTTTTCGTCAATGGGGGGGCTAACTTCTCCTAGTCGGGGTGGGGCGGGCGCATTCCGACTAGAGTTGGGGGGGAGCTTGAACCAAACTTGGGGGGGCTGAAGCCCCCCTTCGCTACGCCACTGGATGAAATCCTCTTTGAACCGCCCGCCGAGGCAGTATAATACATTGGCAAACGCATTGACACACTTGCTCATTTGACGACTTGTACGGAAAGAGCTCTTACTTGTGTTCAAAGCAAGGAATTTCATTGAAATTTTCCTAAGACCACCTACATATATTAGGTATGACACACTGAAAATTTCAAGACAATGCTTGGCATGGTGTCCCATCTGCAAACGCACGAAGTTCGGACTTTTTGGGGGCCATCCGGTATATTTTTAAATAGTGAACGCGTTTGTCCATGCAGGTTGAAAGTACTACGAAGTCGTTGGGCTTACTTATATTCGCAAACTGATATTCTTGGTGGTAGGCATTAATTTTGTCTCAACAAGCACTTCAACGTTCTCTATTCCTGGCATTCATTTTGTCTTTCTGTATATTTAGTTTTTTTTTTTCATTCTGTCTTATAATAATTTCGTCTTTATTGGCAAGCCAATAGTCCCTTTGCTTAGCGTTGATTTCGTTCTAATGCATGTTTCGACATTCTCCATGGTAATCGCTGATTTCCTCCTTATGCTGATCGTAATATGTATTTCTTTTGTACAGGGTGATCAGCTTAATTAAATCTTCATCATTTTTTTCAAAATATCCCGCCAAAGCGAGATCGCAATTCATCTGTCTTTTGTCAGATAGAAAGCAGCAGCACTGGAGTTTTGTTCGAGATGTTGCATTGGGATATTCGACACCGCTTTGCAATTGTTGAGTTTTCCTTTGCTATTAAGAGCGTGACTTAACATCAGCCCGGTTTCAAACAACATTTTGGTTTGAATGTGGTCCCAAGTCGAAACACCATTTTGTTGTACGTAGAGAAATTTCGCGAGAATGGTGATCTTAACTCCCCAGATTTTTTATTCTGGAGGTACATGAAGTTGCATGTTTACAGAAACAATCCTTATGCCCAACATCCCAACCAGCATGTTTACGTAAACAAGACATCAATTCTTTGCAAACAATGCAAATTTTTGCAATCGCTACGAAAATGACATCACGTTTACGCAAAATTTACGTTCCTATATTTACGTCACCAAAGTGTACTTGTATTTTACGTAAACTAGACGTCACTTACATATTACGATCAGCATAAGGAGGAAATCAGCGATTACCATGGAGAATGTCGAAACATGCATTAGAACGAAATCAACGCTAAGCAAAGGGACTATTGGCTTGCCAATAAAGACGAAATTATTATATATTTTTTATATGACTCAGGGAATCATTAAATGCTGAAGCTAAGCTTTTTATTACAGCAGTACACGGGATTAAAGAATAGTAGAATCCCAGCCCCCCAAGTATTACATCTTCTCTATACTAAAAGGAAGAGAGCTCCTTTGAACATCTACTCCTTCCCCCAAAGGTTCCGGTACGGGAGGAGGAAGCAGTATGTAACTTTGGTACTCTTGAGTGCTGGTGAGGATGAGTACTCGTGTACTCGTCCAGCCATCCTAGAATTCTGAAGAACGTAAAGGAATAGGAGATTCAGTATATCAATTCTCTTCAATGGAACTGATTGGCTCGTTAAATACACATGAATGCCAAGGGAAAATTAACATAAATCTCACCGTTTATGTATCACAGAGGTGACATTTCTGCAAGCATGTTGACATTTTCTTGACAACGGTTTGCGTAAAAATGATATAAAATGGACAAAACATTTACATTCTGTTTATGTAAAATTAACATAAACATGCTGTTTGGGATGAATTGAAGGCAAACATTCGTGAAGAAATCGGAAACATTGAAAAGTGATCTGTGTCAACGAGTGAGGCAGAGCGTGAGAAGGCGGGTTCTGGATTGTATTGCAAATAATGGAGGCCATCTGTCCACAATCAACTTTCATAAGTACAGGGTGGCCCAAAAGTAACTTCACACTTTTAAGTCTAAAAGTTTATTGATATAAAAAAATAGCACATGAATATAAATTTGTTGCTGCTTACTTAGGTACAAACAATGAATATAGATATACAAACAATATTTTCACAGAATTGTTTGTAACGTAAAATGTTGTATTCATTTTTATAGGTTTGAGGATATCACTGAACCCTTAAAATGTCATGCCTAAGTAAGCAGCAACAAATTTTTATTCATTTGCTATCTTTATATCAAACTTTAAGACTTAATTAAAAGTGTGAAATTACTTTTGGGCCACCCTGTAGATCTAGAAAAAAAAAAACTCCAGGAGATGTGTATTTGTTCTTAAAAATAATTAAAACTTGTAACTGTTACAAATTATTTTGTTGTGCGCGTGTATGAATTTAAGCTGATCTATATTATCTTGTCCCGCCACACCTCTTCTGGCCAGTGGGGGTACTTTAATTATTGCCACCGAGTACTCTCCATAATCAAAACGAGTGATACTAGTTGAATGAAACTTTTGTGTCTCAAAAAACGCGACGATCGTTTTCTTTACTTGGGTCTCTAGTTCAGAATACCTACACTCTTTCGTGGACTGAAAGTCAACTTAAAATTAAATTGCCACTTTCAAAAAGCTAGAAGAGGCCATGTTTTTCAGCCAACTTCACGAGCATCCCGGTTGAGTAAATATTAGCTTTGAACATTTTTGACCTACTATACATACATTCTTGACTTGGAGCATTTTTATAATTTGTATCTCAATTCAGTATTCTTTTCTTGCAACTTCATTTAAAGAGAGAACTTTGGCTTTTAACATTTCTTGTCCGACTCGATTTCATGCTAATATGCTCTCATTAACTCAATTCTTCGTTTCCATGTTTAAGTCATATTTTTTAACGTATAACATTTTAAATTGTAGTGCAGGGCTGTCCCGCAATGCATTAAAATTTTATGGCTACATGAAAGAGATGTCGGCACCCCAATTATATGATCTAACGTGGCACTTGAACATGGAGGATATAAATTCACCATCAAATAACTAGAAGCAGCCGGCATTTACATTACTCAGGTTGCCAAACTCCTTGAATCTAAAATTTCAAAGAAATTATGAATAATAATTGAGTCCAAGGATCCAAGGACCCAATTGAGTCCAAGGTAAATAAAATTCTTATGCACTTTGCCAGCAAAGGCCTAAGACCAGGATGCAGGGAACTAGAGTACCATTTCAAAGAAAAACTAATCATTCCCCCAGCTTTGGAGTAAATATAACCCCGGAATTTCGTGCTGCGATTGCAGCAAACTCCATATTGTTCGAATGCTTTTTTCATCTCCTTTGATGTAGTGTGCAATACAGAAGGGCTCTTGGAGTTATGATAAGGCGATCGAGGGAAGATGAAAGGGTCTGTCCCGTCCGCTGCTTTTCCACCTTTTTTTCTTAATGATGATTGGCGACCATTGAGCTAATCAAAGTAAAGTCATTCAAGGGAAGAGCGATCATGGAGCAAGTGTGATATTTATGGGTATCAGCTCTACAAAATTCATACAATGGTCTTTGGCCCATCCTCACTGTGCCTTGGAGTTAAGCTACTTATTATTTATAAGCATCCCCCATGTAGCTTGAAGAACGGGCTTGGCATATGTAACAATTCCATCACTTTGACATGCCTATTCCAGTCAATGAATGGGTAGCAGGATATTTTCATAATTCCCATAATTAACTTTTTTTTCCACCATGAGGGTGGGGGTGAAGGCAAAAGGAAACGCTGATGTCAAGGGAAAATTGATACAAATACATGCAAATTATAGAAATAGACTTGTAAGCGAGCCAAAAATAAATATGCTGGCTGCTTCATACAGGATGAAACAAAATTACATAGTAAACACCAAGGTATGGACTTATTTGGACATTTGTACCAATAGCTGCAAAACCACTTTCAAATAACTTGCATTCAAATTCACTAATATATGACAGTATATAGTATTTTGAAGTCTTGACTATGTAAAAGTCCAAATAATACCTCAGAGTTTAATAGGTACTTTTGACACACCCTGTATTTTCCTTTTTCCCCTATTGTTCTCACTGAAAGAGTATGTAGGGGTACATTCCACCAACAGAACAAAAAAAACAGGCAGCATAGAAATGCTGTTTAATTTCTCAAAATGTGGAATTTACCTCTTTGGCAATTTCACATAGCCCTAATAACATTTTCTTGATAATCACACTTTCACTTTTCAAGATCACTCTTACCCCAAAAGCATTGGCCTCCATTCACCATCCTGCCAGACTACTTCAGTCCTGTTGACTCAGAGATAGAATTACATAGGTATTTCATCAATTACTTTAAAATGGTCACCAAATGCAATAAAAGTATTTTTTTAAAAAGAGTTAATCAGATTTGAAGTTGGTTGATCACTCTGATTCAATCAAGCCCAACAAAAAAAGCTTTTTCAAAAAACCAACAAAGATCATTAATTTTCTCAGCAGCAGTCCATATTCTCTTGAAAGGATTCCCACCTAAGCCCTCAAATGAATTTCAAGCTTCAGAAGTCAAGCATACAGATGAGATGTGATTTCTTTATTGGTATTAGAACTTTTGGAACAACTTCTTAGTTCCAGGGGCTCTCGTCACCTTGAGGACATTGAACCTCACTGTCTTAGCCAGTGGACGACATTCCCCAACTGTCACGACATCGCCCAGTTGCACATCCCTATAAGAAAAACATTATAATCAGTTCGGTTTTGATTTCCTTTTCATGTTCTAAATGGATGGAGGTGAAAACAAACCTGAAGCATGGGGAGAGATGCACTGACATGTTCTTATGCCTCTTCTCAAATCTATTGTACTTCTTGACATAGTGAAGATAGTTCCTCCGAATGACAATCGTTCTCTGCATCTTCATCTTCACAACAATTCCTGTCAGTATTCTTCCACGAATGGATACTCCACCAGTAAAGGGACACTTTTTGTCGATGTAAGTTCCCTCAATTGCCTGCAAGCAGATTGTATTCATAGTTCATGATAATTACTCAGCAAGATCACACACAACATATCATGATACTTTGAGAAATACTTTTATATTGAAGTTGCAGCAAACCAGCAACCTCTTCAAGCAGAAAACAGCTACCTTTTTACAATTTTCAACTTATATTAAAAAAATTATTATAATCTAATAATGGCATAGCAATAAGACCATGACAAAACACCCTTACTGAATGAGAACTTCATGGGGCTTTGTTTTGGATACATAATTAATCTCCCACCAATGTTAATGAACTTGTCACTAAATTTTTTCAGTCCACAGAAATAGACTAAATTACCAGATTTCAATGAACCTTCACCAAGCTGGAGTCAGTCTCAAAATTTTTATTTCATCATCACAGGTGATGCAATCACCAAATCTGCATGAGCCCACCCCAAACACATGCCTTTATCACCAAAATTATAAATTTTTCAGCTATTACAACTGTATCAAGCAATAGACTTTTCTTCATTTTTACTTAGACCTGTGATGGCACAGGCCCGCTAGAGAAGAAAGCGCTTTGTTTCTTTTGATGTGTGAAATGTGACAATTATTTGGTGCCTAGTCAATAAAGTTTTGCAGTCATTTCATGGTATCTGGTAAAAACACTCAGAGAATTTGGTTGTTTTCACCATGTTTTGGATTCATTAAGTCTGGTGGTGAAATCATTTGGTGAAAGTAATCAGAATTTGGTGAAGTAAATTAACTAAGTGACCAATTAATACATTCTGGTGATAAATCAATACTTCTTTGTGGCGGAGTCAGTATTATTTGGTGATGAATTAAATACTTACCTTGAGAAAAGATCCAGCCATGCACACTAAAATCTAAATAAGAATGGCTTCACTAAGTCCAGAGTTATAAAGGTCTTATTTTTGTATACATTCTCATGCAATTAATTTAGAGCTAGGTCTGAAGTGAAGACACACACCTCTCGTGGAGTTTTGAACCCCAAGCCAACATTCTTCACATATCGAATAGACTTCTTCTTCTTCCCCAATGTCTTCTTCCTGTTCAGGAAGATAGTTGGCTGCTTCTGAAAGGCACGCTCAGTCTGAAATAAAAAGAAGATAGATCCATTGATGCAATGGAAAACTAAGACCCATCCAACTTGGTGAAATGTTCAAGTGAATAAAGAGAGAAGTCAATCAGAACCCAAGGTCTACGAGGAGTATCCTGCTAAGACGAGGAGAAAAATCTCTCATGGAGCTCATGTTAACCTATTCAGTCAGTGTGCTGAATTGGGACATGTCAATAAGTTCTAGATCTTAATAATTTAGCACAAGCCACAGGCATAATCCAATGCTTCATTCCAAGGAAATTCATAATACACTTGCAATGAAGCATGCATCAATGCAGATAAAGTTACCAAATAATATCTACAGCAAAAAAATTGGCAGCTAAAAATGCTTGTTTTCTTGTCAAGCAAAGACAAGAAAATAACTCATGTCTGAAAAGGCTTAAAAAGAAACTCTCCATGCAACTTCATATACATTCTGCAATGAAGCAAAAGTGGCTTTAGCTACTATGCCCAGTTCTCATCAGCAATACTGATGCATGTTTGGTAACAGTGGCAGCTCATGGACGAAAAATCTGGGGAGGCCAGCTCATGATCTTTATAATGAGCATTTTTCATTGTAGTATTAATGGGAGCATGAAGCATGAAACATCAGTCACTTAGGTCACTTAGGTCAGTCACTGAGTGAGGAACCATTTCATGTTTATAGTTTATATTATATCAATAACAAGCAAAAGCAGGGTGAAAATCCATAGAACACTTGAGTGAAAAAAGGGGCACATCTGGCCCTAGTAGAGAAGTAGTGGTCTGATGACTTTCTCTCCTCACAAGCTTTACAACTTCTAAACCAGGGCTTCCCAACCCTGGGGTCACGACCCCATTTGGGGTCACTAAGGTCATGTTTGGGGTTGCAAACTAGCAACTAAACGCCATGTTATGTTTTTTCTTTGCAATTTTAGCGCATAGGTGAGGGAGCCTGTCGAACTTCAGCCAGTGCTTGGGGTCCTGAATGGTACGATCGTGATTTTTGGGGTCACACGTGAAAAAGGTTGGGAAGCCCTGTTCTAAACAAAACCACAACTAGCACACCTAGCTAACGTCATAATGATGTACATTATATATTGGGCAATTTTCATCCCTGGCCTCTGCATAGATACAAATTGGCAATACAAATTTGATGACTGAAAAGCTCTCTACTTTGGGCAAAGTAGCCTAAAAACATACTAGCTCTTGCTAGCAGGCCCCTGCTCATGTGCAATGCAGACAGTGAGGCCAGCCTCCCTGCTCTTGTATGCTAATGTATTGCTAGTTCTACATGATACCCCTATGCATTGTCTATGAGCCCCATGTATTGGAGGCTACCAGGCTCTGGCCTCCCATATGTGATTCTGGGCAGGAGTAAACTTTCAGAGACCAGACATTGCCCGTTTTGTGTCAATTGAGGATGAATCCAATGATAACCAGAGATTTATTTTTAAAATTTCCCATCCTAATGGATATTTGCAATTATAAGGGGAAGGGTCTCCTGAGAATTTTCGAGGAGAGGGGAGAGGCAGCTCATCAGGGGAGGCAAGGGAGGCCAGGCCTCCCTTGCCTCCCCTGATGAGCTGCCTCTTTGGTAGACATATGATATGCAAAGCTAGGTTCTTCCGAAAAATTCCTGATCCTGTCAGGTGCAGTCTAGCAAATAAAAATAAAAAAGGAGGTAAACCCACGCTACGACACTGAAGAGAATACTATAAGACTGTGCAGAACTAAAAGTTAAGCATGGCCTCAACATTTACAATGACGGTTGCGGTGGATACGACCGCAATACCAAGCTACTGCGTTTGCTGCTAACTTGGAATATATATTGAATCTACTATTAAATGAAAAATGTTCAAGATCGAGTTGCTCACAGAGGTCTCGGCGAAACATCGCTATTGGCTAATAGTAGGCCCGAGGTCAATGTGAGAAACTCGGTCTTGAAATTTTCACTACTCAGCTATTTCAACTTCATGAATTAAGATACGTAAAACTAATATATCTGTAAATGTCGGTGGAATTAATGGGATAGCAATGCGACTGTATTAGGGACTTATATATTTTTCCTCAGAAGGCGTAGGCTGAAATCTATCTTAGTCTAAGAACCACAACTCACCTGGTCAGCCATATTTGCCGGAAAGAAACTCCTTGCGCGAATACGCTCTTGGCATCCTTTGATACAGTGATTTCGAAATGAATTCGTATCAATTTCAACAAGGATTCAATAGGCCTAATGTTATTTATAGCATGAAATAAATTTCCTCTACTCTTTGGGTGCACCATAGAAATAATGTGGTACAAGGTAAATGATGGTACGAATTACCCACTGAGTGGTTGTCTTACTTGGTAATGCAGGGTGTTCCATTTAAATTACTTTTTTATTTTAAATACCTCAGCTCTTGTTCAATGCACAACCGTGAGCTGTAGCTCATTCGATAGACATTTTTTAAAGGAATTTATCCGAGCTATGGCTGACTTTCCGCTCTCAGTGCATCAAAAGTTATGGTGGATTTCCTGAAATCCCGTCTCGTGGTTATTTGAATCACAGCTTGCGTCTCAATGCGACATTGTGATACCGTTTACCGAGTTATTGGCTTAAATTTTTGCATTTTTTTGCCATAAACTTTTGGTGCTTTTTTTTTCCCTTGATCGTTGCTATCATGGCTCCGCAATACTCTGTTTAGAAACGAAGAAACGCTGTTGAGCGTTTATTGGTATCAGGAAACAAAGTGGATCACCGAGATGTAGAGGCGCTTCAAGGCAGCGATCGGGCAGGCATTCGACTCAGTCACAGTCGAGAAGGCAGAAGCCTGTCCTTGAATATCAGCGTCATTTGCAGAAATGTGTTAATAATACGTGGACATGTGGAAATTAATGTGGTGAACAAATTTCGAATAGTTTGTGAACTTCGAATTTTGTAAAAGTGGTTTTATGAGAAATAATGATGCATTGTCTTGGTCAAAATCAGCAAAAAATATATCACACAAACCCTAACATAACTTTTGATGCACTGAGAGTGTGAAAGTCAGCCATAGCTCGGATAAATTCTTTTAAAATTTTCTGTCGAATGAGCTTATAGCTCGTGGCTGTGCGTTGAACAAGAGCTGAGATATTCAAAATTTAAAAAAGTTATTTAAATGGAATATCATATAGATTTAGCACATTCCCGTGCGTTGTGTTCAAAAGCGTAGAGATAAGACGGAAAATATTGGGAGAAGGGTGGCTGATGCAGTTAGACCAGAGTTAGGGAGCTTGAACAAAACTTAAGTTGGCAGAACCCCCCCCCCTTAGCTACACCACTGGGCCTTACGATGTGTATGATGCTGAACGGGTTCTTTTGAGAAAGCTTTCTTTTTTCCCCAAGGTACAAATCGATATTGACGTGAAACCTAGACTGCGACTGCGTCTTTCTTCGCATTTACTTCGGCTGAAGTCATCTGATCCACAGTAACAGAAATTTTGTGGCTGAAGCTCCCAATCATTCCAATAATCTTGTTGTAATTGGCCGATTGGACTGAAAGTGGCCAAACCATATTACGGCTAGTCTAAAGAACAGATAACGAATGTGCTTTCCTGTTGGCAAGTTCCCCTGTTAACGCGAAAATTCTCACGCCATTCCATTCTAATCTGATATCCCAAATGAATTCTTCGGATAAATTCCTCCTGGCGCCTTATTTACGAAAATCTCTCCTCAGGAATGAAGCCAGGAGAAGGAAGACGAGAAGCTCTAATTCCATGATCATTCGTAGAAAGCTGCATTTAACAAAAGGTTAAAAACGCCTAGGAGCAGACACTAGTCGGAGCAAAGGTCTTCTACATGCCTTGCAGACACCCAAGGCCGTACCGAAAATACTTGACGCCCTGTGCGAGATATCAATCGCTTGTGGACGCGAATGGATCAGGAAACTTCTTTTTTGGAATAGTCTGAAAGCGATCATTTTGTTTTTTGTGTGTTCCCTTTTTCCAAAAATAGTAAGTGATTTTTTTGGGAAGAGTGAGCAGTGCGAAAACGACGGAGACCGCGCTGACCGATCAATCAGCCCACGACACCCGATCCACCGACCAGGAAACTTATCGTCCAAGAAGTTGCGAACGCGGTGAGCGTAATGGACCGGAGCCTCATCTTCCATAAATATTTCCTCTAAATTTATTTGAGATGCCATGGTAGGAAAGATTTCTCCATTCAACTTATAGGGCGGCCCATGGAATCCTTGCCGTCTTCCAGACGCCTTTCCTTTTGGAAGTTCCAAGCCAAACCAAGTAAATCTGCACCTGCGCAGGTTTGTCTAGCTCTTCCTTGTCGACTTCCGCTGGTACTTCGATCGCAACGTACAGCGGGGAGTTGTGAGGACAGTGCGGAACCAACCTCTGATGTTAGCTTCCGTTGCACATGCTGAGCTCTCGTTACGCCTTCTGGTGTACAAAAGGACAAGTTTGGATGACTCCTCAAAGAAAAGAAAGTCACTCCTTCCCCAGCCGCTTGTCAACGAACGGGTTTTCTCTTACTGCCGTATCAAGAAGGTATTGGACGTCCTGGACGTCCTCGGGTCTCCTAGGAAACCTCTTTACCTGGAGGGACATTATCTAATACACCACCATCTTCTCCTTCTGGTCAGTCAAAATTGGGCTTGTAGTTTTCCTTTTCCATCAAGACGAAGCTTTAACGTCCTCCTCTATCCAGAAAGTTTAGAAGCAGCAGCCCGTATGGAAGAGCCACAACAAACCGCCCTTACTGCAGCTGCCATCGCTCCATCAGAATATTGAATACGTCTCAGTTGACGGTGTTTTGCCATCTCTACCGGCTGCAATAAAAAGGCCAAATTAATTAGCATTGTAATACCCTCGTGTCACGGAGATGTGGTAGTTAAAATTCACCGAGTGACTACGGCTTTGACATTGCGGGGGTGACATCGACATTGCATAAAGGGGTAACACGATGTCTTTGGAATCAGGAGATAGGTTTTGATCTTTGTCAAAATAAAAGCAATGGCAGCGATTAAACATGAACAATATACATGGTATCCCTGAAAGATGTATACACACTTCAATAG